AGCGTAACATGTTTATAAATTTTAAAAGTAATTCGTATTTATTTATTACGCATCAAATGATTCAAATTTACTAAAACAAAACCAACTTGTACTTTGTACTACACTTGCTAAAATTTCATTTCATAAAAAAAATCAAACAGGTAATAGAGACTAATTTTACATGAAATTTTCTAGAGTAAGACAAAAAACTCGAAGAAAAGAATTTTGTATCAATTTTTTTTGAGATAAATTTAAAACGCTTCAAGGAAAGTGTCATCAGAAACATACATCAATGTAACTAAATGTGAGGTGCATCAAATACGCAATTAACAAAAAATTCCAAGACTTGACTGTTACCTAACTGTAAGGGCTGTTGAAAATGTTACCTTATATTATACGTATTACCTAAGAGTACATCCGAAAAATTAAACGTCTACAACGTCACAAAAAACGTAATGTTAAACATTAATCTGGCTTTGTACACGTTCATGCAAAAATATCATGAAAGTCCTTGATTGTGCTCTTAAAGAAGTTATTGGCAATACAACCACTCATTTTGAAACTTACAACTTATGGTCGCACTCTGTATTTATATTGCGAAATATGGTTAATTTAGACAGAAAAAAAAAAAAAAAAAAAAAAAAGGATTACTCGTGTGAGAAAATTGAAATAGGCAGCGAAAAATATTTACCAAAGTCGTTTGTAAACTGTATCAAGATATACAATATATTTTTCAGGTATATTTACGGAAAATCATTTATTTACTTACCTTCCCTCGTAAAAAAAAATTCCCCCCCCCCTCCCCCCTCCCTCAAACAAACACGTACAGTTTACACGAATAATCACAGCCCTTGCGTATGACCTTATCCCTTTTTCCCATGAGCGAAGGGGGGGGATTCCATATTTGAGATGCGTATCTCTACATTGTTGTATCAGAGAAAACACGTATTTCCCATAAGTTGCAACATCGTTTTTAACTCTATCTCTTCGTAATCTCCGACGATGTAACAGATACGGGCATCGACGAACACACAGCGAGGAACAAATGATAATTATTTTACCCTTTCCCGATATCCGTAAAGAAAAAAAAAAAAAAAAAAAAAAAAAAAAAAAAAAAAAAAAAAAAAAAAAAAAAAAAAAAAAAAAAAAAAAAAAGAAGAAGAAGCATATTCCATTTTTACCGTCAGTGTCGAGCGGGTACACTCCACCAAAGCAAATCCACAGGACAATGAAGGCATTCCCCATTGTGGCGCTCGTACTCTTGGCGCTGCTGCTCCGGAGCTTGGCCTTCACCGTCGACTGCTCCCGCCACATTCTCTTCGCCAAAATGGTCGAAAAAATAATCGGCCCGATGCGCTGCAGCCTCGTACTGTTCATCGGCCCGAGCTACTCACCACCAACGAGCCACCCTTGCGACAACCTCGACCTCGCGTGGTACACCAACTCGACCGTACTGAGGGTGTCCTACGACCGCAGCAAAAAGTTCCACAAGCCCGTACCCCTGATCAACACCGCCATCCACTGCATCGTCATGCACATTGTCGACGACTACAGCCTCAAGGGCGCCTCCTCGATCCTCGAGCTCAACAGCCTGACCTTCTACTACGACACCGAGATCGCCATAGTGTGCACGGCCGAGTGCTCCGGGGCCGGGCTGACCCGAGGCCTCGAGCCCTGGGGCATGACGACCCGCGACAACCTGCCCAACGCCCTGGTCGCCGATTACCGGGCCCAGCGCGTGCTCAAGGTATGCGCGTCCGCGAAACAGGTGGGCCCGATGGAGGCCGGCCCGGAGCCGTACGACTGCCCGGTGAACTTTCACGGCGAGACCCTGCAAATCTCCCTTACGTACAATCCACCGATGACCGTGCCCAAGAACCCGGACCTGCTGGCGAGGGACGACCCGCTGATGGCGATGCCGAGCGTCGACGAGGCCGAGGGCCTCGAGGTCGAGCTGCTGCGGGCCCTCATGTCCAGCTTCAACTTCACGGTCGTGGTCGACCAGGAGAACGTGGCCAACGTGACGTATGTCCTGAGGGGCGACACCATCGAGACCGAGGTCAGTGGCCTCGTCAGCGAGGACATACGGATCAACGGTAACGTCCACCCGGTCGAGACGATACTCAACACCAACGGGACGGCCCTGTACACGTGGCCTACCTTCAGCGAGACCTCGTGCATCATCATCGACACGCGGCTCTTTCCCAAACCGATACTCAATCTGTACGAGATATTCAGTCCCGAGGTTTACATTGGCGTCATCGTCATCCTCGTGGTCGTCACCGGGGTCTGGATAATCATCGACAATTGCCTCAACGACAAGAGGAGCAGCTGCGGGGTCATCGTTCTCATGGTCTTTTCCATTACTCACAGCGGTGGTGCTTACAGGTAGTACCGATAGGCTCTTGTTACCGATTATTCTTGTAACAGCAGTGGGAAAAAAGAGAGAAACAATTGTTTTTCAGGCCGTTGCGCACGAGTTCGGAGCGAATCCTGGTGTTGGTCTTTTTGTTCTACAACTTTGTGATACTGAGCGTGTTCCAGGACAACCTGATAAACGTGTTCAACAAGTTGGATGAGTTCAAGGATTACAAGACCCTGGAGTCGTTCATCGAGTCGGGGATCCCGGTGTTGCCGTTTCGTCACGAGGTGGCCAAGTTCTACTCGTTGTACAAGCACTTGAACCACACGACGACCAAGGACTACCTGGATCTAACCGATCGGATCGAGCAGGCCCTCGAAATGGCCAACTTCACGGACAAGCCGTACTTCACCACGGACTTTGCCCGCTACACGAGCGAGGGCTACGCCGTGATGTCCACCGTGTCGCTGGCCAAGCGCAAGGTCGCCGAGAGCGTGAAACTGAACAACGGCACGACCACCCTGCACATACTCAACATCATTCCCGTGCCGGCGCACATGAACCTCGTCGTCCACCGGCAGCTAAAGTTCCATCCCCAGATCAACAAGCGCATCCTTCACCTAACAGCGGGCGATCTGTTTGCCGTGTGGCAGCAGCGCTCGGTCAACGACTACAACGTCCAAATGATATCCAAGTACAAGAAGAGCAAGGACATACACACCCTCGACCTAACCGAGCTACAGATGTGCTTCTTCCTCTACGTCTACGGCGTCCTGTTTTGCGTGCTCGTCTTCGCCATCGAGATGATTTATTGGTACTACTGTACCAAGCTCCTGGCGAAACGCAAAACCTGTTGAATAACCAATGTATTCATATCATGTGTACCGTATATTGAGTACCCGCATGGGTGTGTGTTGTCGATAATAAATATCGGGGGAGAGGAAAAGCTGTGTTTTCATTACATACGTATACATTATACCCTACACGCACGCACGTGTTTATATATATATATATACAAAGAGCGAGTAAACCAATCGGAGCTCGGTTCTCGATTTGAAAATTTTGGACTGGTCCCCACAAAATTGCGCAGTTTTAGCGTGGCCTTTGGCTTTTCAGTAGTTGGTCGCGAGCTGGACACGATGGAAAAACAAACCTCGAACGAAGAGCCGTGGAGCACTGGGTGAGCGAGGCGTCAGCGCTTGCGTCTGGATTTGTCTATTTGTAAATATACATTCGAAACAGTTGTAGCAGCGAGGTTGGGCAAGTCTCGCCTCGGTCGCCGCCCCCGCCACCGCCACCGTCGCCGTACCCCGAGAAAACCTACGTGTCGGATCTCACGTTGCTACTGATGAATTCGAGCGGCAGCGGCTTGGCATGGACCTACAGGGACACCTCGCGCGCTGCAGCCATTGGCTCCGAGAATGAGGAGAAGGGCGAGGTGGCTGGGATAGCCGAGGACACCGGGTACGAGGAGATGAGCGGGGAGACCGTGCGCGACGACCCGCAGCTCGGCAGGATGATCGCCGATATGAGCAAACTGGGCATCGACGAGGACAAGCTCGACGAACGCCACGAGGAAAGGTACAACTCTTTTTCCCCTCCCCCCCCCATGTACCTTCGTCCGGGGTCTTTGACTTTCGCTGCAAAGTCGATTTTCTAACGTATACTTGTACGACCTTTCGTACGCTTTGTTGACAAACACGAGCACCTTGTTCGTTTTCACGATTTTGAGCGTATGGCGTTCCTGTACCTCTGGTACACTATACATACCTCGTTCTTTTCGACAAAACACGCCTCGATTTCTGTACAAGCGCGTTATTTTCAACTTCTATGGTAATGAGAAAGTGTCGAATCAACCGCGTGACGATGTTTTTCAAAAATCAGCTCACGAAACGGGTCGAACGAAATTTTCCGCAGTACTTTGCAGCCTTCTTACTTTAGCCCAAAAAGTTTTGCTCAATATACTCAAACATCAATAATATTCAAACTCTCTGCTCGTAAAAAAAAAAAAAAAAAAAAATAGCTTCGCACTAGGTAACGTGTCGCGTGACAGCGACGTCGTGTTCGAGGGTGCGATATTACCTGAGCTCGAGCGCACGATATACTTGTCGAGCGGTGGAGATACACCGACCGATTTCGGGAAGACTCGCGAGTCTCCCGATGACGACGATGTGTTTGCTGGCGAGCCCTCGGGGGAACTGGAGGAGTCCCTGTACGTCACGACTTGCGAAGACACCTCCGTAGAATTCCACTCGATATTGGAGAGCAACCGGAGCATCGAGGTGGTCGAGGAAACCGTTCAGGAGCTCAGCACGACCAACCGCATCATCAAAGGTGTGTGTGTATAGCCATGCTTTCGATACTTTTATTTCAATGAATAAAAAAAAAATAAATAAATAAATAATGATAATGACAACCATACGTGCGTGTGGTGTTCAATTTGGAAAATACCAGACGTACCTCATCCGGCCAAGAGCAAGCTCGGGAGGTCCGAGGTCTTCGACGAGGTGACCGAACTCCCGAGGCTCGACCGACTGAGGGAACACTTTGTCGCTGAAGGCCGACTCGAGGAGAGAGTCGCCCTCGACATTATCACCAGAGGAGCCCAGCTCCTTCGCAAGGAGCCCAATCTGATCAACATCAGTGGACCTGTCACTAGTACGTTTTTTTTTCTTCTTTTCTTTTCTTCGATTTGAATAGTCTGGTTCACTCACTTGCGCGGTTGTCCAGTTTGCGGTGACATTCACGGGCAGTACTACGATTTCGTGAAGCTGCTCCTACTCGGCGGCCCTCCCAGCTCTACCACGTACCTATTTCTGGGTGACTACGTCGACAGGGGTTACTTCGGAATAGAGGTTTTTGCTGTTTTTCTTTTTTTTTTCCCTCATCGTTACAATGTTCACATTTGCCCTTGCAGTGCATACTACACCTGTTGGCCCTCAAGATTTCCTACCCGAACACGTTCATCCTGCTACGGGGTAACCACGAGTGCCGTCATCTCACGGAGCACTTTACGTTCAAGCAGGAGTGTAATTTTTTTTTTTTTTTTTTTTCATTTATGTTTATTTATTTATTTCAATAAAGTGCAAATCGTCCGATTGATTTTCAGGCCTCACCAAGTACTCGGAGGCGACATACAAGGCTTGCTTGACGGCTTTCGATTGCCTTCCGCTCGCGGCTATTGTGGACGGAAAAATATTCTGCGTTCACGGCGGCCTCTCGCCCACGATCAGGCACCTCGATGACATTTACAGAGTACGCGAGCTTTTACGTTACCCGTTACCTTTGTGCTTTTTTTAAGGGTATTTTATGATTACGGCATTTGCAGATGAATCGGTTCCGGGAGCCACCCACGTGCGGTCAAATGTGCGATTTGCTGTGGTCGGATCCCACCGAGGATTTCGGCCACGAAAAGGTAGTAGACTTTTTTCGGCACAACGAGGTTCGCGGCTGCTCGTATTACTACAGGTACACAACTATAAACTTGAACGTAAATTGGGATATCGTGACGCACTGGTTGGCCCTTTGTTTGCAGCTACAGCGCCTGCTGTCGTTTCATCGAGGAGAACGATTTGCTTACCATAGTGCGGGCTCACGAAGCCCAGGATCTGGGCTACAAGATGTATCGGCTGAGCAAACACAACTTCCCGGCGCTCATCACCATTTTCAGTGCTCCCAATTACTTGGACGTCTACAACAACAAGGTATATATAATACGTCTGTAGGAAAGCGAACCTTTACCGCCCTCCTGGTGGTGAAGGATGTATCCACTTTCTTTCCGTCCGCAGACAATTTTGTATATTGTGTATTATTGATTGTGTATGCGAACAAAAAGAGACACGCTTACGTTGTACGTGATTTTTGTGAAAAAAAAAAAAAGGCAGCGATAATTAGATTCGACGGGGAAACTCTCAACATAAAGCAGTTCAACGCTTCGCCTCATCCGTTTTGGCTGCCCGAATTCATGGACGTGTTCACCTGGTCCCTGCCATTCGTCGCTCAAAAGGGTGACTTGAATTTCGATTTTCTTAACTTTTACGAGCTTAAGAATACTTTTTTTTTCTCAAATTTTTTTTTCGTTTGTCATTGTTTCCAACAGTTACGCAAATGTTGGTCGGTATCTTGAACATTTGCTCGGACCATGAACTCAAGGAGGAAGAGGATGAGGAGAGTAAGCCAGTTACCGTATCGTATACCTATTTTCAGACTCGGGCACGGATATTTTTTTTAACTTTTTTTTTTTAATTCAATTTTTAGCTAGGAATCTAACACTTAACCATTAAAAAAAAAAAAAAAAAAAAATAGCCAAAGAGTTTGAAAAGGTAACGAAACGTTTTATTTCAAAAACTTGACCATAGCCTTTCAATACCTAAAAAGTATTACTGCACTTGTCTGCCGGAACAAAAAATGTTTTCATCAACCCTCTGTGTTTTAAAATCCCTAAAATAATCGTACCAGAGTCTGTCTACTGTTTTTTTAGTAACTACACTCTAATCTTTAATTATTAAATTACATACGTACACAATAAACGTACGAAGATTCGAACTGATTATTCTTCAAATAAATTATAGAAACGAGCGTAGATCGCAACAAAGTCATTCGCAGCAAAGTCCAAGCGGTCAGCAAAATGTCGCGGCATTACAGTATACTCACGTAAGCAAAAATCAGTTTTCATCCAAATACGTAAGCGAAAATTGTTGTTTAATCACTTTGACCTTCAGAGACGAGCGGGAGACAGTGCTCAAGTTGAAGGGACTGTCGCCGGACGGCCGACTGCCCAGGGGCTTACTGTCGCAAGGAAAGCGCGCCCTGCGCGATGGTACGTACCGCAGATCTTTTCTACATTCCTTGTGAGCCAATTACATGGAGATGATATTTATGTTTGACACGTGCAGCGCTGAAGAGGCGTCTCTCGTTCGACGAGGCGAAGCTCATGGACGCCGAGAACGAAAAAATGCCAGTCGCGCGCAACGATACCGATCCGACACAGGAGAGCAAAGAGACGCAGCTCCCGGAGGCAGTGGGGGCAAAAAAGTCCAAAAAAGTCCCGCAGTCTCGTAGTTTAGGTGCTTTATAGTTTGGTTCCGAGTGGGAGGGATGGATTTTCACGAATTGCATTTTTTACTCTTCAGACAAGGTGTCCAAGCAAAAAGAGTTGCTAGCCCAGACTCGGCCGTGCTCCGTGAAGCTGGAGAAAATGGACATTCATGCCCCACCGAGACGGTTAACCAGGTCCAAAAGCGTCAGTTTGGAAAGATTGGCCAGAGGAGCGGGTGGACAGCACGGCTTGACTTCCTCGGGGCGGTTAACCAGGTCGCGCAGTTGTACCGAGAAAAAAGTGGATTCCAAGCAGTCAGGTATTGTTGAGGTTTCGCATAATTTTGGCAGACGAGATTGTTCGATGATACGGGGACATTTGGTTTTTGTTGGGGCACAAGGTGAGGCGTCGGTCATCAAGTTGCGCAGGCATTGCAGTGGGCTGATCAAATGCTGAAGTTGAGAAAGCAGTCAGGTACCTATACTCTCGTGATGCGGGTGCTTTTTCCATTTAGTTTTTTTTTGGTGCATACTTAAATATCAAGATTAAAATTAAATGTTTTTTTTTTGGTTTTAGAAAATGATCGCAGTTAGAGAAAGTGGAGTCGAGTTTTATGGATAATTGTTTTTCTATTGTTTGAAACTTGAAAGTTTATTTTTTTATTGTTTAATTATTTTCTCCAAGGAATTGTTAATTTTACGAAATGGCATTTTTACATTTAATGTACATGTTTATAATTGTCGATATTAATTTAATTGATGATGTTGGAACATCGATAAAAATTTACGCTCGTATATTTTGTAATAAAGATGATTATTCCCGATAATTTTATGCGTTACTTACTTGGGGATTTTATGTAATAATAGCTAGAGTCAATTTTGGACTTCCTATTTAGTATGAAATAAAAGTATGGCATGTTTTGCGAGTAATTTTTTTTCTACAATTGCTCCTTGGTGAGTATTGATATTTATTTTATATACATAATTTTTTTTTAACTTTCACACGGTTTTACCGAGGTTTTACTCGGGTTTTACTTTAGCAAAGCTTAATTTGCAATTGTTTCTACAATTTAACACTCAGCTAGCCTCGAAAATTTATGAAATATTGAACGTTTAAAAAACAAAAGCAATTTTTTAAAAGAAACCGTAAATATATATTAGACTTACCATACGGCTTTTGACAGTAAAAATAAAATTTCTTAAAAATAATAAACACAGATAGAGAGGAATTATTCAAGTGCCGTTTATGATTAACAATATCTAAAGAGTAAAGTCAACGAGTAATAAAATTTTCATAACAAATGTAAATATCTTAGTGATTTATATTCCACAAAGTAAGGAAAGGTAGAGGATGGAATGAACAAAATACACAAATATCCAAATGTTGGTTTGAATTGAAAAAAAAGTTACATTCTATCTTTATTGATGAGACGTGTATATGCATGTACAGTGCCAATGCGCAGCGATAGAAAATAATTTACAAAAGAGCTTCTAATGTACATAGTGCTTATGTCTAATGAAAAGTATACGTATTACTTACAAGTATACATAATTAAAACAGTGGAATGAAACTTATTGGTATCGTAGTTGGGGGGGGGGGGGGGGGGTGTGAGCAGTTTACCATCCGTAGCTGAAGGCAGGGGCGGAGTAGCTCATGTGGGAGACGGCGACCGCCGGGGAGTAGGCGATGGCTGCGGGGGCGGGTGCGTGAGCCAAGGGTGCCGAGTAGGCCAAGGCGGGGGCGGGGGCGGCGTAGACCGGGGCAGTGTGGGCGTAGACCGCGGGGTTGGTGACGGTGGTCACTTGCTTGTTGGACGAGGAGAAGGGGGTGGCGATGCTCTTGGAGTGGGTCGACACGGTGTTCAAGTTACCCTCGGAGCGGTACACGTTCTGGCTGGTCGCGCTCACCGATGGGGCAGAGTAGGTGGCGTAGGCCGCGGGGGCATAGCTGGCATAGGCAGCTGGTGCCGAGTAGCTGGCATACGCCGCTGGTGCAGGGGCGTAGCTGGCGTAGGCCGTAGGGGCATAGCTGGCATAGGCAGCTGGTGCCGCGTAGCTGGTGTAGGCCGCCGGGGCGCCGATGATACCCGCGCGGGCAACTGCGATCACGCAAGCGATTACTGCGATCTGCAAATCAAAAAAATATTATAATAGTTAACGTATGGGTATAGCTTGCATTTGTATGTTGGTTTATAGAAATGCAATCAAAATAATTATTTTTCAGTCGCATCATTGTAAATTCAAAAAAAACAATCGAGTGTTAAGGGAATCAGTCAAGAAAAACATGATGGATTCTCAAACCGCAATGAATTTGAATCAAAAATTATCAGTTAAAAACAAATTATACCTTGGCGAACATGGTTACGATTGTAGTTGGTGGCTCGGTACACTTGGGAGGAGCTACTGTGAGAGATCGAGTGAGTCTGTGCCGGAGTCCTGGCCACGGGTATCTTTTATACCCCTTTCGAGAGACACTACCACTCCCGGAGAAAGAAAAAAATATAAAAAAATAATATAAAAGAGAGAGGGAGAAGGACAGGCACCATATACGCACGCATATGTTACACGCACGACATACATACATATATATTATACTTACGTGGCTCTCTGTGTCTGGCGAAAGTGGGCAAAAAGCCTTTTCCTTCGAGTAAGTAGGTAGTATACGTTACGTCCGTACATTGTGTATCGCCTATACCTACACCCATTCACGAAAACACACAAGATATCGCGCGCGCTCGGGTGTTGCCGGGGTATAGATGTATACGTGTTTAAGCTATTGGGACAGCCTTGGTCCAGATTAAATTGCCCCGAAGGATATGGCCCGCTCACGAGTTCGCCCTGGGGCCAATAGACACACATAGGCCTCCGCTGTATACATATATACACACAGAGTAGGTACTCGGATGGTGTTACCGATGGAGTTTGCAAGCGCCCGCTCTTACTGAAATTTCATCGATTGTCCGTTGATGTGGTGCCTTTTCTCTCTCTCTCTCTCTTTAAATATCTCTCTATAAATGATACTCTCTGCTTCAGTACAACTGACATCATGTTTCATAACACCGAGCGAAGTGGATTATCATTTCTTTTCACTTGCAGATTTAGACTGTTTCGGGCATTCCGCGCACAAGTAGTAACAGCTAGTTGATGGTAAGACTGTCCGACCACACTGTTAATTGAACTGTAGGAATAAACGTTTATACTTGAAAACTCTGATGCTTTATACCGTACGGATGACGCCTGATTGACTTTTTGCAAAATTGTCAAACTCAAAAAACCCCCAGGATAATCAACGGTGGCCTTCGTTCGTGGACAGACGCGGGACTTGCTCCCGCGAGTCCGTGCGGACAAAAAGGTATCGACAAGTAATCGGCCTAATTACGTAATTTTCCTTCCTTGGTGAACCAACGAATCGGCCGGTAAAAACAAACCAAAAATGCGCCGGCGGACGGAGAGCAGAGAAGCAAGGGTATATCCCTTTCCCTTTGCCCCATTCGACTGCGGGCAAACGGGCGGAGCTCAATTTCCAAGGCAAATAGCTTTGTTCTCCTTTTCTTGGCAAATGATGAAAGGGACCCCCAAACTCATTGTACTCGTTTGGTTGTATAATGCATGTACCGATACAATTGTTGTTGTTGGAGCTGATTCGGTAGAGGGGGAGGGGGGTGAAAACTAAGTGTATGAGCGTAAAAGACTGATATGTAGTAGTATGGTTGGCGATCGATGGTGAAGAAAAATTCAAGTCCGGATGTTGCCAGTGCGTGGCAACAAACGCGTCGATCGAACAACGACGGTAAATTAATTTTCGCGAATCGAGTGGTGCGTGGATTTTTACGGTTGCAAAGTTTTGCGAGAGTCGACGGTGACCCCCTTTTGTTCTCAAGGTGGCCGTGGTATATTTGCCGACCACTGCATAACATGGGGGGAAAAAGGCGTGTGCTCGCCTGATGGGCGAAAAGAAAAGAAAAAAATAAAAAATAACATGCGCCGGTGCACTGTGCACAAGTGTATAATGTCATACGATAGATCCCCATGGCAAGATGCTTTTACGAAGGACCTTTCAATGCTGACTGACACGCGAACCCCTTTTTCCTTTGTGAAAGCTCCGTTTTTTTTTTTTTTTTTGTTTAATTTACCATTTGTGTTTTATTTTTTTAAAGATATCGAGTATTTGCGAAAAATAAAAAATGAGGTCAAGTACGCACGTAAAGAGAAATACTTTTGGTTAATTCGACCAACTAATTGTTGCTACAGTCGCAGCAAAAGTGATATTTGTTGGAATTATTTTATCGTTGGAGAACGATGGTTGAGTGTAATTATGTATAGCTTACATAGGTTGAAGAAACTGTAGGGTTGTACGAGGAAACCAACAACCATGTTTATAGGCATCCCTGCTCCAGATGATCGTCTTAAATTATCAGTGGTTAAAAAAATGTCACTGCTCATAAATCATCTGTATTGTTGAGAAAAATAATTTTTTTAAGTTAAATGTGCAACAGGTCCCCTTATTTTACGTTTTGTTGCACAAAAAAATATTTTTTATCCAAGTTTTTCGTAGTTGCACTTTTTTCTTTAGTGATGCAAATGTACCGTATGCCGAGGTAGTTTCATTTGTTACTTGTCTACATTTTTTACGTCTTTTTTCATATAGCACTCCGATCAAGCAGTTTATAATAGAGTTTTAGTAAAAATTTCTAATCCATTCGGTCCACTTTGAAATGAACATCATACATCATCATCCGCCATGTAGGGGTGCTAACGTCTAAAGGTTGTACATTAAGTACTAGCAGAAAAAAAGCCTGTTGAGTGATGATAAATGCATCGCGAACTAGCGAACGATTCAAGGTCACGTTGAAGTCGAGAACAGCTGCAGCCATAATGTCAAGGTTGTCGGCCGGCCGTTCCACAAACCTTTCTCCTTTCGACAATTCAGCTATACCTATAAATGCAATTACTTCGATGCGGTAACTCTTATACCCAAGTAAAAGTTACCATTTACTCATACGTAACACGCATAATATAAATGTACACTGCACACCGTAAGAGCACGTGAATCGTTGGATAAATTATTAATTAATAATTATACTTTTAGTCAGTGAGGACTAACCTGCTTTTTTTTTTTTTTTTTTTTTTTTTTTTTTTTTTTTTCATTTATGTTTATTTATTTNTATTTAGTAAACGTTAGAAAGCAATTACTTATATACAAAATCTTTTAAAAAGCCAACAAAATACATTTATGTTTGTGTTAACAAATGTTTTTAATTTACCAAAAACACATTTTTTCGATTTTTAAGGGTTTTCCAAGGAGCTCGAGCAGCTCAACTTGCTGATATGCAACCAATGGTAGTTTTCCTACGAGTTTGAAAAGTCTCTATTTGCGAACCGAGAGGTTTGCGGCCCGAGCCGAAGGCGAGGGACGTAACGAGGTTCGTAAAGGAGACTTTTCGAACGAGTATCGGAAAACTGATTTTTTGCCCGAGGAAGTACCAGCCTCTTAAAACCACCCGAGGGCGGAAAAGAAATTTTTGAATCTCCGATATCAAGAAAAACTTAAGCTTAGTTTCTGCAATCGAGCTTCCGTCACTTTATATTTGTATAAAACATCAATTCGTGTTTTTCATGGATAAGTCGTTTTTTCTGAAACCGTCAGTACTTAAAATACTACTACTGATGATTTTTCGAACAATAAAAAACTGAACCCTTTTTCTTTTTTTATATTAATTTTTATGTAATCGATTAAAAATTTTGTAACACATTGTCGGAAAGTTTGCATTCACGCAACGTACTCTCAGCAGTTCACTTTTCACAATACAATATATATTATGTACAAACGTGGATCTAATCAACGTGCAGTGTGAAGAAGAGAAAAAGTACGCGGTGTAAAAAAAAAAAAAAAAAACAAGGAAAGTAAGTACAAGATCACACGTGCAAGTACACGCGGGATGGAGGTCGACAAACTCGATCAATGTTGTTACACAACAACCGAAAATTCGCTACCTTCGCACAATTTACTCACGTATTACGTTAAAACACATCAGATATTGTAATTTTTGCATATTATTATCTAATTGCGTTTGTCTGATTGAACGTAAAGTAATAATAGTTAAACAAGTAAAAAATTGTACTGCGTGGATATATTTGAACATATTATTATAAATGGCACATGGAGTTACCATTTCTCGTTTTTTGTGCGCACAACATGTATACTTGGATATATAATATTTGAATGAAACTATTACCATTGTAGTTTTTGAACCAGACAAACAGACGTACGAAAAAAAAAAGTTGGGCGTATTGATTTAAAATCATCGTTTAAAATCTTTTGCTCGCATTTATGAAAGTTTGTCACGAGTGTGCTTAAAGTGGATTAAAGCAGTAGCGGACAGACAGACTCGGTTCGAAAACCATCTTGCGAAACTTTTGGGAGAAAAAAAAGAAAAAATAATGCAAGAATAATAATGACAATAATGACGCTGCAAGGCGTGGTTCGGGTACATATAATGTTCGCAGCATTACGATCGTCGCCCGCGAGAATAAAAAGTGAAGAAAAAAAAGTCGAGCATTGGCTTGCGCAAGAGCACAGATTGATCGGTGCCCGAGGCACCCTGTACACTTACACGAATTTTTGAAGCCCAAAGTTCGCGGCCCCTGTCACTAATATACCTCACTGCTTATAGATTTTTACGAAAATAAGACTCGCGCGTCTATAGAAAATTTCGAGCTGTATCGATGATATCGATGATAAATATATGTAGACGTACGCTCGCGCGAAACTGACAACTGGATCAGTGGGTGGGAAAAAAAAAGGTTTGGACTTTCTTTTATGCTAATCGCCACGCGGACCGAGTATTCGGTACTTGTACATCCATATCTATACCGTTGTTTTTGTTTCTCGCGCCAACTTTTGATCGACATTCGGCCGGATTTTCGAAATACCACCCCAAACTCCACCCCATGAGGGATGGTTCGACGAAGCAAATGAGGTTTCGATAGAATTTAACAGGTCGGGCCCTTCATGTGGCAACAGGTGGCCGCGCCGCGTCCTCGAGTGCACCGGCTGGTGCTCCAAGGTCACTTTGCCGCCAAAAGATACAACAGGTCCGATAATACGTTGCTGCCTCGCGCGCGGGTGCAACGCCTGTACTTTCTCTCCGCACTCCGCCCCGTCATTGGTGCAAACTTCTCTCTTTCCTTCTCAAGCGCGACAATGCGTTACGATGATACATACACGTACATTTATAATGTTAACTAATAATAAACCGATTTTTTTTTTTTTTTTTTAAATAAATGTACATTATACTACGTGTAAGTTAGGTGTAAGAGAAGGGAGGAGTCCGGTCGCTAGCGGCACGCGAAGGAGCATTGAAGAAAGTATATTTCTCATACGCCGGTTATACATGGGACTGCTGTCCCCCACTTTTTTTTTCTTCGTTCCCATCAGGGGTTTCGGGCTTTCGGTTTGCGAGTATAAAAGACCCCTGCCTACTGCAGAAACGCCAAAGTGATCTCCTTCGATCAACAAATACAGATCGTAGCGTCAGTACCACTCCCACACACACACACACCTGCAACCATGTTCGCCAAGGTAAGGTTTTACAACTTATTTTTAATTCGTTTATTACAACAAGTTTTGAACAACTAACTTATAGGGTTATTTAACAATTGAAATTGTCTCACTGGAAAGAGCAGTGAAATTTACTTTATTCGCTTCCGTAGAAGAAAATATGAGAAAACATTTATTCATACATATAATCATCAGTCATATCTTAGATGTATGTCAATCGATTTTGGTTGTACAGGGTTTTATGTGTATCAATTTGCTTCTTTATTGAGACCAAACAGTCGGTACGATTGGGCCCCTCCGATTGAAAAAGCCTCTTATTAGTAATGTACATCAGCCACTAGGCTGGAATATTAAATATGCGATGCGCACAGCACTAGTTGAGAGCATGATTTGCATTAAATTATTTTTAAAAAAGCTTTGCTTGTTGTACCATAGGACACTAGATTATCAAAAAGTTTTTGATTGGGGAAGCGTTTTGTGACTCGCTCAGATACTTTAGAGTACAATAAAAACAAATGTATGAGAAGCCAATTAAAAAAAATCTAACACTATAACGATAATATTTTTTTGATTTGCAGATCGCAGTAATCGCTTGCGTGATCGCAGTTGCCCGCGCGGGTATCATCGGCGCCCCGGCGGCCTACACCAGCTACGCGGCACCAGCTGCCTATGCCAGCTATGCCCCCACGGCCTACGCCAGCTACGCCCCTGCACCAGCGGCGTACGCCAGCTACTCGGCACCAGCTGCCTATGCCAGCTATGCCCCCGCGGCCTACGCCACCTACTCTGCCCCATCGGTGAGCGCGACCAGCCAGAACGTGTACCGCTCCGAGGGTAACTTGAACACCGTGTCGACCCACTCCAAGAGCATCGCCACCCCCTTCTCCTCGTCCAACAAGCAAGTGACCACCGTCACCAACCCCGCGGTCTACGCCCACACTGCCCCGGTCTACGCCGCCCCCGCCCCCGCCTTGGCCTACTCGGCACCCTTGGCTNAAAGAAATAAGTGTGTTTCAGTGCACAATCGTAATATGAAATGTCATATTTCTCTATTTCTCAGTTTTTCAATAAATTCATACAACGATGTAATAAAAATAAAAAAAATGAATTTCGAGCAGTTTATAGGAATTTTGAAGTACATTTTAATATAAAACACAACATTTTATTTTGTTATCAATACTCGCCATTAAGGTAAGCATATAAGTTAAAAACTATTATTTAATATCAATTATTTCATACTTATGTTTATGTTAGCAAGTTGATGAGGAAAATTATACAAAAATGATTAAGTGCATGAAGAAAAAAACTTTTATTTTCACATATTTAACGCATTCTAAATACATTGTATGTAGAAAAGGCCGTAGTACTAAAATTAAAAATTTTATAATTATTTTAAAATATAAATCACTTAGATATTTACATTTGTTATGAAAATTTTATTACTCGTTGACTTTACTCTTTAGATATTGTTTATCATGAATATAACAATTTGATAATTTATTCTAAACGTGATTTTAAAAAATTTTAATTAATGTAAGGTTTATTTCACTCATTGTAACATTCACTACAGCAAATTTTCTTTAAAATATTTTGTTATTTAGTAAACGTTAGAAAGCAATTACTTATATACAAAATCTTTTAAAAAGCCAACAAAATACATTTATGTTTGTGTTAACAAATGTTTTTAATTTACCAAAAACACATTTTTTCGATTTTTAAGGGTTTTCCAAGGAGCTCGAGCAGCTCAAATTGCTGATATGCGACCAATGGTAGTTTTCCTACGAGTATTAAAAATTTTGTATTTGCGACCCGAGAGGTTTGCGGCCCGAGCCGAAGGCGAGGGACGTAACGAGGTTCGTAAAGGAGACTTTTCGAACGAGTATCGGAAAACTGATTTTTTGCCCGAGGAAGTACCAGCCTCTTAAAACCACCCGAGGGCGGAAAAGAAATTTTTGAATCTCCGATATCAAGAAAAACTTAAGCTTAGTTTCTGCAATCGAGCTTCCGTCACTTTATATTTGTATAAAACATCAATTCGTGTTTTTCATGGATAAGTCGTTTTTTCTGAAACCGTCAGTACTTAAAATACTATTATGACGGACTTTTCAACTTCAAGTATTTCCGAAATTTTAAATTTTATGACTTTTTTTTTTTTTGCTGATATCTGGTAGTTTATTAATAATACAAAAAAAAAAAAATGTTCTGCGACTGTCAAATCATTTGTTAATGTATGGTTTACACAAATTTCCGAGATTATTCTATCTAAATCCCGAAACAATATTGTTTGTTTCCATGAGATCATGCACAGTTTCATGAAAGATTTAAGATTTTTGGTACACACAAAAATTGAGTGTGACCAGAATTTTCCAACAACACTTTAACAACGTATAAAATGTCTATTGTGTCCAGTCTGTTGAATCCTTAGAATAAATTTTAGTTAGTTGGACTAAAACAAAGCCGATACTTAACAGAAAAAAAAAGTAATACTTTTCGTGGTACGTGTATTACTACAGAACTCGCAGGCTTCGAATCACGCATTTATTTATCAGAAAATACCAATTGATACACGTTAGCTGAACGAATAACAACCAATTTTAGGTGTAATAAATGCTTTGACGAGTGTATCGGACTTTATTTTTAAATCACAAAATTTACTCATGTATAGTTCTATCATTTGTTTATTTTTATTGCTTTATATTACACTCAATTAACCCAAATCATTTCATTGCTTAGCCCACTTTTCCAATATCTCTTTTACCTCTTACCCCCACGACATTGTTAGGACTACAGATGAGACGGATATAAATATTATTACTCATGAATTTAAATAACACGTCCATCCAAACAATTAATTAAAGCTTTATCCAACTAATGATGAAATTTGTTTCTTTAAGAACACCGATGTATAGATGTGTCATAATTATATATTATATAAATAAATAAATAAATAAAAAAGAAAAAACTGTATACCATACACTTTCCAACGCAATTTTAATTTAAAATATTCAAAATGCAAAATGTGTATCGATCAAAATGAAACATTAATGGAGTACCAACTATAATTGACACTCGTTATGTGTATATTCTGAGACTATTCTCAATGTAAGTACTCTATGAAACCCAAATTTTCGTCAACAGAGAGACGGATATTTCCAAAGTCCTTTTTTATTATAGGCACGAGTGGCAGCCGTACAAACGCTCGCCGAGGTATAGGTGCGGCGAGAAATCAATCTCCCAGTTTCGTTGGGAGCCATAGATCAGCTTTCTTTGCTGTGCGATGTAAAGCTTGAATTCGTAATACAATATTAAAACGTATACGTATATACCATTATCGAATTTGAGCGGTACCACGCGTTCGGTATTATTACGAAATTCGCGTAGGGATTATGTGTTATGTAATTTTTAGTTTCGCTTCGTACTTCTCGTTGATACAGTTACCTGTTATTACGAGGTATTTGGTAACTGAAATTAATTAAATTTTCTCAACGTCGACGATCTTAACCCGTTATTGGTGTTATAGAGTTACGGCCAGGGACTCGAAAACCGTATAAAGTGTAATTCACTTGTTGTTGAATATTTCTTTTCAAAACATATAAAAAAGAAGAACACATATAATTAACTTATACAAATACTCTGCATTCTTATGAATTATGAGAAATAATTTCCAACTATTTTTTAATTGTAAAAAAAAGACTTTTATCATTTTAATACTTTAAGTCTTGCTTGAATGGTAATAAATTCTTTCAGTATGACCAAATGATGGAAAAAAATGAAGTTGTCAATGATGAAAAAATATTTCAAGTGATTTTTGATGATTTAAAACTTCAGTAAGCATACTTGGTATCACAAAAAACAGTATGAATGTGTTCAGGTACATACACCCAATTAACAATAGTTATGGTATGCTGAGAGTTATTTTTCTGTCGAAAAAAGATTGTACGTTGAAACTAACGAAGAAGATAGTACATTGACGATTTCCTAATACAATTTTTGTGTGAATACTCGTTGTAAAAGAAATAAGTGTGTTTCAGTGCACAATCGTAATATGAAATGTCATATTTCTCTATTTCTCAGTTTTTCAATAAATTCATACAACGATGTAATAAAAATAAAAAAAATGAATTTCGAGCAGTTTATAGGAATTTTGAAGTACATTTTAATATAAAACACAACATTTTATTTTGTTATCAATACTCGCCATTAAGGTAAGCATATAAGTTAAAAACTATTATTTTTGCACCCGCTCTCCCGGTGGGGCAAATATATATATATACATACACATTGCAGCGATGGCGCGCGTCACGCTCCAGAGGGGGCCCATCTGCCCTCCCATCCCTGTGTATGACTATTAGTGCACGTGTACATGTGTGTGACGTCAGGTGTGACGACTACGACGACCGGGTAGAAGAGCAGCCCCGNAACATTTTATTTTGTTATCAATACTCGCCATTAAGGTAAGCATATAAGTTAAAAACTATTATTTAATATCAATTATTTCATACTTATGTTTATGTTAGCAAGTTGATGAGGAAAATTATACAAAAATGATTAAGTGCATGAAGAAAAAAACTTTTATTTTCACATATTTAACGCATTCTAAATACATTGTATGTAGAAAAGGCCGTAGTACTAAAATTAAAAATTTTATAATTATTTTAAGTGTATGGTCTATATTTTTATTTCTTTCCAAACAAATAAATGAACTGACAACCTGACACTCTTTTCATTTGTAAAAAATTGAAGATTTCAATCAATACATATTTTGAGATGGTCATTAAATATATTTATTAGAAATGAAATTAAGTAGTGATGGACATTACTGTAATTTTTTTTTCTCTGCGTATCAATCAATATGAAGAACTCTCTCAACTCTCGAACAGAAATAATCTTGTTTTTAAAAGTAACCAAAGTGATTTAACAATTTCTCATATGCATTTACAGCATCAAAAGTAATTTGATCAATTTTCCTCTCAGATTTGCGTACATCATTTCTGATATGAAGCTGTAAATTCTTATTTCGTTCTTTGTAATGAGTTATCATATTCTTCATGCGCATCAGGAGTCTACGAAATTCGCGTCTCACATTCATGTCCAATGACTTAGCCTTTTCGAAATCATCGTAATTGCGAAAACCTTCCGTTTTTAGGTGTTGCGTTAATATTCCTTTAGCTCTCTGGCATATGTTCCAGTAACGCCTAAAGAATACAACGTTTGTATCATATATTCTCATCAATCTTGCTTGCTCTTGCTGCAATAAAAATTAAAATAAATTGAAATTGATTTAAAAAAAATATATTTTCCAAACTTACAATAAACTAACAATAACCAGAATCTACGAATAAGATGGATTTGTGATGAATAAAATACGTGTTTTACCTCGACTGTTTGAAAAACCTTTCTTTTCATGGCTGATTCAACCAAAAAAAGGTTGGTACTCAAGAGAAAAAAAATGAGTACTTTTGCGTGAGTCGTTGCGATATGCATTGTTAGAATGCTTGAATTCAACTGTGGATTAGAACGGCTAGCTTGTTTAACTGAAGAACATAAGTGAAGATAACGAGCGACTTGAACAGAAATTATCTCATTAGTCATTAATGAGGTACGTATCAAATTTTATTTTTAAATTCCTATACTATTTGACTAACTGCTTAACAAGTCCCATTAAATTTTTTTTCATGTCTTTTTTTTTCTAATGAACAAGACCTTGTTAATACAAGGTTACAACATTTCGGCGATTAAAATCATTGTTAACAATAGTTTGTAGGTTTTTTGACAGGACCAAACAGTATGACCCCTCCTTTACCAGTAAACATTTTAAAGTACAAGTTATAACATCAACCTACAAATTCGGAAATTGAAAGTTAACAAAGATACGCATTTTTCTAGTGTAAAATTCTTATAGCTAGATACTGATAACGCCTTTGTATAATGTGCATATCGTCACTTGGAAAAGAAAAGCTAATAAGCCAAACAGTGGCATAAAAAAAAGACTGTAATTTTTGACAAAAAGTCACATAAGGCTCCATATGAATTTTGACTTAATTTTTGTTTATGTATCATAAGCAAAATCGTTGGCTTCCATTATCCTACGCACCTCTCATTAACTGCTTCGATACGCTTAAAATAGTACACTACACACCTAAGGAGAAAAAATAAAGCCAAAAATTGCAAACACAAAATTTGAGGCCTCATTACGTGCTTTCGTGGTGACAACATGATTTTATGTACTGCGCCACGTTAAGGATGACATATTTGCCTCGCAGGCATGAAAAAACCATTTCTATCCCTACATTTTTCTCCACATAGGTATCATCCATGGGTACTCAATAAGTTACCTTTTGGGATCTGATCAGTGTTGTTACCTTTTAACTTAACGCCTGAATGGATACGTTGTATAATCTCATCTGAGTCCATGACGTTAGTTCATTTACATATTGCACAAACATTAACTCTCATCTTGATATTCTATGACGTAGGGTAATGACAAAAAGGAATAATCAAATAATAAACAAAAACTTTTGTGTGAACGTAAAATTCTATCAAAGTGTTATGTCAAACATAACGTTTGTGTAAAAAGTACTTATGCAAAGATTCTTGAGTTTTTGGCGTTTTCACGAGACTGAAAAACAATACGTGACTGTCAACTGTATGTGACAAATAAAAACAGTTTGGGCATAAGACATGAATTACAAAAATATTTTACAATATTCGCAAACTAAATCGCAAAATCGTATAGCCTCGACTTTTGTTCTACAATACAATGTACACACTGGCTACATGATATCATGTTCTAAAACTCGTAGTAATTAGACATGGATAAAAGTAGTATTTCTTTGAAGGAATCAAAGGAATTGTAAGGAAAAATTATTAATTACGTTTGATTTGTTATTTTATAGCAGCACACGTCAGAAAATTTTTAGATTATACAAAAAGTGCTCTAAATTCTAATAATATTGTTGATAAAAATATTGTTGAGGCTCACAATTGGTTTTTTGATAAATTAAAAATAAAAAAATTAAATGGATTAAGAGCAACGAAAACTGTCATCGAGGAAACAAAAATAATCAACAAGGTTGAACCAACTATCTTTGTCGTCGGTCACAAATATTTTTGAATCAACTTCGTCCGTATTTTCAAAAATTATTTTCTCTTTATTCAGCTGTCGGTTGCGGCTTTTTTTAATTCCCATTGAACATTTTTTTACATATATATTTACGAGAAACCATTACCACAATACATCACTTTACAACAATGCCTGTCAAGTTCATACTCATCGTTATTTTTGGGTTGGCTTTGGTTTTAGTAAGTATTCGAGTTGTACCCCATTGTCACAAATATCATTAGAAATTGAGATTTTTTTAATTATACACCGATAATTTACATAACAGGCCGAGCCAATTCCAGATGCGGCTGTTCAAACAAACATTTTGGTAAAACTAATTTCGTCGTAAATTATATTAACTAGCCCAAGTCCACAACGATAAGCATAAAAATGTTAATTTGATTAATCGGTTACAGGCCACAGCGATATCCACGACAAATTTTAAAAATGACGACTCCAGGAGTAATTTTGAGGTAATAAATAAATAAAAAAATAAAAAAAAACAAATTACTTTCCGAAGAAGTCAACTGACGAAATGTGTAAAAAAGACTTGATTAATATGAATCTCGATTGCAGAGCTTCATGAGGTCCATAGAGGCCGAATTGCAAGCCGAAGAGCAAACAGACCTTATCGACGCTAATTCAGAGCGAAGTCTCGAGGACACGTGGATGAAGTTGAGGCGAAAATGGGAATCCATAATCAACAAGGCGAAAGCGAGGGTGCACGACTTCGTCGCCAAGGGCAAAAATGTTTACCAAATCGTCACGAAACATCTCCCGAAACTCAAAGTGAAAATGGTCAAACTGATCGATGACGTGAAAAAAACGTACCGAGAAATCGTTATCGAGGGAAAAGACGCTGGGGTTGAGATGAAAAGTTTTTACGAAACTCTAAAAGAGGCGTACGAAGAGTTGAAACTGCCGGCGCTCCAAGTTTACGATGAGTTCAGGGATTTTGTCAAAGACATCCGAAGGGTCATTGAAATAATACACGTGACAGTGGGTGCCATCAAGTACATCGGATGATTTTTTTCATTGATGTATACACGTATTTTGTTAATAAACAGTATTTCATTTTCTTTTGTTATACACGAATTTTTTTTATCGATTTTCTTCCTCTTTTTATGTCAAAGTTTATTTTGGTGTACTTTGCATGTGTGTTCGGGAACTGGGAAGAATTTGTTGCACAAACACGGTATACTCATTTCATTTTGAGTTATAAAAACCCTTCAATTTTTTAATATTAACATGTAACAATTATGAAAAATCGTTGAGAACTAAAAGTCGCATACAAAAAACTGTAAGGAAAATTTATTTTTATAACCATATGATATTTGCTCGGAAAATGCGTTGTTAAAATTATTTTATATATACTATGTGCCACTATTGAAGTTTTTTTATAATAATCACAGTGATTATCATGTGCATTACGTCAATGTTCATTGACCCAAGTTTATTTACTTGGAAAATTGTATTTTTTGGAGCTTTTTTTCGTTTATCTTGTATGCACGTCAACGGGGAAAAATTGATAATTAAAAACGTCACGAAAATGTTGTGAACGAAAATTCTTGCGGTAAAACTCAATTGTTACCGTTTTGACAATTTAGGTATATATGCTACATATCTATACAGTATCTACATCTATATAGCATAGTGTAAAATACATCCAATGCATCCTCGTCTTAAAGTGCTTCTTAAGATGTGAATACCTAATGGCTTTTTGCATGTAATGCCATGTTTGTTGGTACGGTTACGGTTCTAAAGTAGGTAGTCTTCGTCCGACAGATTGACAGTACACTGTCGTAATCTGGTCGTTAAGTAATATATATACAACTCGCACACCTAGTGGCAAATAGTTTTTGAGGTTAAGTTGAGAGAAATCGTTGGCTGTCAAAACGTGCCACGTCGTAGCAGGCGCGGGCCACTGGCTCCCTTCGTCGGTCTCGTCTTCAACGTCGTCCAACAGGATCATGCTGACCGCGGCGGCGACCTCGTTGTCGAGCAACGGTGGCAACTCGTCCTACGGCAATAACGAGCGGACGTCCACCGTTGGAGCGGCTGCCGCTGCTACGGAGGCTGAGCTTGCCACTGACTGTGCGTCTGGTGGTCTCTTTCACACAGATTACAAAAAGTAATGTTTTCATTAATTTCTAGCTTACGTATGGGTGCACGCAGTTGTTGTTTTCAACCGATTATTGACAAATAAAAATAATGCTTGATGTTTTACAGGCATGATGATTTGAAACAAATGTTGGACAGTAACAAAGACGGGCTTAAGCTCGAAGCTATGAAGAGAATCATTGGGGTAAGTCGATTCAATGGTTTTGTGATCGTATTTTTTGTTTGTGAGCATCTAATGCCTCGATAATTTACATTATTTTAACTTTGTCCAGATGGTAGCCAAGGGCAGAGATGCATCGGATCTCTTCCCAGCAGTTGTGAAGAACGTCGTTTCTAAAAATATCGAAGTTAAAAAATTAGTTTACGTGTATTTGGTCAGGTACGCTGAAGATCAGCAGGATCTCGCTTTATTGTCGATTTCTACGTTTCAACGCGCATTGAAAGATCCGAACCAGTTAATAAGAGCAAGTGCCCTGAGAGTTCTTTCAAGTATCAGAGTATCGATGATTGTTCCGATTGTGATGCTTGCCATAAAAGATTCGGCAAGTGATATGTCACCTTATGTAAGAAAGACTGCAGCTCATGCTATTCCAAAGTTGTACTCTTTAGATCCAGAGCAAAAAGAAGAGCTCATCATTGTTTTAGAAAAATTACTGTCCGACAAGACTACTTTGGTAGTGGGATCTGCAGTAATGGCTTTCGATGAAGTTTGTCCTGATCGTATCGATCTTATACACAAAAATTATAGAAAGTTGTGTAATTTATTAGTTGATGTTGACGAATGGGGACAAGTTGTTATTGTTAATATGTTGACAAGGTATGCAAGGACTCATTTCTTAAACCCTAATGCTGATGTAAGTTACTTTTTACTTATTAACGTCAGTATGTACGAAATGTCTGAAATCTTTATTAAAAGTTCTAAATATTTTTAGGAATCGGAAGATGAGGAACAGCGCCCGTTTTATGACTCGGATTCAGAATCATCTAGCACAAAGAAACCAAAGTTTACCTTGGATCATGATCATAGGTTGCTTTTACGTAATACAAAACCGCTGTTGCAAAGTAGAAATTCTGCTGTGGTAATGGCAGTAGCTCAATTGTATCATCACACTGCACCCAGGAGCGAAGCAGTAGTCGCCGCAAGGGCTCTGATAAGGCTGCTCAGAGGTTACAGGGAAGTTCAGAGTGTGGTGCTTCATAGCATAGCTAGTATTTCACTCAAAAGGAAGGGCATGTTTGAGCCATTTTTGAAATCGTTTTTCGTGAGAACGTCGGACCCAACTCACATTAAATTATTAAAATTGGATATTTTAACGAATTTAGCAACTGAAACCAACATTAGCGTAATTTTACGAGAATTTCAAACTTATATTTCAAGCAGTGATAAGGAATTTGTTGGCGCTAGTATTCAAGCTATTGGAAGATGTGCTAGCAATATTAAAGAAGTCACTGACACCTGTTTAAGTGGGCTAGTATCATTACTAAGTAATAGAGATGGTAAGCAAGTGGTTAGAGATATTTTGTTGGTCAATTGTCTTTAATTTGCATGTATAATTTTCTTTTATTTTGTAGAGGCCATTGTTGCAGAAAGTGTAGTAGTAATTAAAAAGTTACTGCAGACTCAGCCAAATGAACACAAGGACATAATAGCTCACATGGCCAAGCTTATGGACTTTATAACAGTACCACAAGCACGTGCTTCCATTCTTTGGCTACTTGGTGAGTACTCGAACCGAGTACCCAAAATAGCTCCTGACGTCTTGCGAAAAATGGCCAAAACTTTCATAAACGAGGAGGACATTGTTAAACTTCAAACTCTCAATCTAGCTGTCAAGCTATATCTGAGCAACGCTGAGCAAACGCGCAAGATCTGCCAGTACGTTTTCCAACTAGCAAAGTACGATCAGAACTACGACATTCGAGATCGAGCGCGATTTCTTAAATTTTTTATATTTGATGGAGAAGATAAGCCTGATAAGAAACTACCCCAGTATGCTAAGAGGATCTTTTTGGCACATAAGCCCGCACCAACGCTGACTTCGAGGTTCAAGGATTCGCAGTTTCAGCTGGGCACTTTGTCGCATTACCTGAACATGCCTTGTACTGGTTACCGTCCGTTGCCTCCTTTTCCCGATGTACAGCCCGATCCTTCTGTACGCGATGTACCTGATGCTACAAGTACCCTGGATTCAAAGAAAACCAAGCACTGCCTGAAAAAAGACAAAAAGGAAAAGAAAGAGAGCTTTTATGACGACGACAGCTCCCCCCAGGAAAATTCGAACAGTGAAGAGTCAGACAGCAAGTCAGACTCGGACAGTGACTCGTCTGAAGACAGTAGCAATTCATCAAACGAGAAATCATCGGCTTCAGAAAAATCTAAAACCAAAGTAAAGAAGATTGTAAATAGCAAGAAAGTTAAACAAGAAGAATCGGATGATGATGAGGGTAGTGAAGATGAGAGTGCAAGTAGTAGTGGTAGCGACTCGGAGGATTCCGACAGTGACGAGTCATCTTCCGACAAATCAGAGTCTGACAGTGAGTCAGATAAAGAAGTTCCAAAGAAGCAGTCCTTGTCAGCTGTCAGCAAACCTACAGATGACGCTAAGAAAGAAAAGAAAAACGAGCAGAGGAGTAATCTCGATTTACTTCTGGATCTTGATGATGGTAAGAAAAATTATTTTATTTTTAATTATTAGTATAACTTCATTCATTTTATTGAACGTAAATTTTCAGTAGTGCCAATGACACCTATAATGACGCCCAGCTTGGGTGGTTTCCTTACGCCTATCGTGCCAACTCCAGCTTTAGCTATGTCAGATGGTATTAGTGAAGTTTCGCCTTCGTTCATTCCAATAAAGAAATTTGAATTATTTAACAAAGTTAGCGGTCGTGGCTTAAAAATGGAATACAGATTTACTAGATCGCAGCATTTAATTAGCTCTGCCATGGTCAACATCGAATTAACATTTTCTAATGAAGGCACTGAAACGATTCAGAATATTCGTGTTGGAAATAAGGTGCGTTATAAAAATTGTCTCACTTTCTCGTATTTATTTTAATAGTTAACATTATGGTGACATTAAAAGTAAAACCATTATTTTATAGAATCTTCCAAGTGGGATGTCCATTCACGATTTTTCACCAATACCGATTTTAGAACCAAACACCTCTGTACCCAGTAGCATAGGGATCAATTTCAATGACTCCACTCAACCCGCGGTGTTTAACGTTGATTTTACGATTAAAGATGAATCGGTTTCCCGCAATGTTAATGTGAAGGCGCCTATAGGAGAAATCGTTAGATCAGTCTTTTTACCTGAGACTTTATTTTTCTCTGAAAAGGATAAGCTCAAAGGCATGAATGAGCATGCCGGTAAAATGAATTATTCCTGTGAAAGAAAGAACTTGACTCAAAAAGTACTTGAAGCCGCTAACTTTGCTGTTATATCCAATGATAATGAGACTATTAGGTACAACATCCAAATTTTTATAGAATGTTCTACAAATCTGTGTTCATAATAATAATCGTCTCTTTTTTAGGTTTGCTGCACATACTCTTGCTTCTAAATCTTTAGTGTTGGTGACATTAAAACTAGAGGAGGGAAATGCTCTGGAAATTTGTGTTAACTGCGAAAAAATGGTGATTGGTTCAATGCTGCTTAATGAACTCAAAACTAATTTTAAGTAATCAAAAATTTCGAACAAAATGTGATCAAATTTATTATTGTACAAAGTTTTAAAGCCAATTGTGCATAATATGACCCAATGAAACAACACTGTAAAATAAGCAACTATTATAAAGTATAAAACTAAAAGTAAGTTAAAGTCGTACAAAATTTTAATATGATAAAATTTCAGGCTAACAACTGTATACAGCAAATAGTATTCATTAATTTCCATGAAACTGTATTATTTTTATGTTATTGCTAAAGAAGCTTTTTTCACTGTATTCCTAGTTTTTTTTTNTTATTAAAAAATAATTCGTAAAGTACAAAAATTAATTGTTTTAATAAAATATTAAAACAACGTTTTATTTTCACGTTTCATTAAATTACTTTTGCTACAAAAGTACGACAGCATCTGAATAAATATTAGAATTATTTAAACACAAAACTATTTTAATTAACTATATTTAACAGATTCATTATTTGTGCTACTTTCCTTTAATAAAAGTAAAAACACTTGAAAGAGAAGTCGCGATCTAATAATTGTAGAGGCGTTAAACTTAAAATATGCATAATAAAAAGGAGAAACTTGAAGAGGTAAAAACAAGCTATTAAATTCTTTCGACTTAAAAGTTCGCCTTGACGGTAAATATAACGTTAGTTGCAAAAAGTTTTCAGTGGCCTCTAAAAAGGAAAAAAATAAACAGAAAACTCAAACACGAAAGACAATTTTACGGGTCTAAGCTGGCTATGCTGTCTAATGTGTCCGTTAGTCTGAAAGAGAGACAATAATTATTCTGTCGACGTGCTCTACAAAACGATTTTAACACGTAAATCGCTGCACCGGACCGGACAAGGGTTATTTTACCTACTATCTTTGCGATCTGCAACTGCATTCCAGCACTTTTTTTTTTTTTTTTTAATCAATCAAATCATTGAAATGGAACTGGAGTGAGTGAGTGAGTGATCTGCAGATATTTATTATAAGGGAAAACACTCGATATACCTATCGGAACACTCGCTCACCGTATGTCGGTAATTCATCAACCATCAGCTACTGCAACTCCATCTCCGCGTAAGTATACCTTGTGCTCCGATTGCTCCGAAAAGTAAAAAAAAAATGCAAAATCCATCTGATACACCGTATAAACATACCTATATATACAAATGTACATTTTCAGCAAAGTACATGGTTGGTATGGCAGTGCGCGCAAAATGGCCGCCCGCGCGAGATGAAATCCTACAGCACGTCGGACCGGAGAGCAGTAACATACCCCAAGAAGTAACTTAGTTAATAGGTAGCAGTAGTGCGCGCGTGATGGTGCATCGTGTGTGCATGGTGCATGTCATTCTTATACGAGTGCAGCTGTCGCCGTCGTCTTGACTCTTCCGAGAGTGGACGAGAAGAAGAAAAAAAACCACCTCATTGCGGAGCAGTGAAGCATTTACTTACAACAAAAATAAAATAACAGTGTCGTTCGTTACGCGAATGCATCTGCAATCAAGTATTATACCCATACACTTGTACCTACAATATAATCTCTAGTGTGTGCTCTTTGATCCTGATGATTAAACATGGATGAATAAATAATAACGTCAAGTGCAGGTTTGCACCTTCGTTTTTATTTCCTGATAGGGAATATATTAAGTGCACCTATAATACACACGTCACCCCGGCACGGCACGCGGGAGTGCAGGCTAATCATCTGTGTGCAAAAATAGTGAGTTTTGTTCCTCTGTTGGAGCATAAGTAATTTAAAAGTGTTAGCAATAGAGCAAGAGGCTGTGTTGTGGCCAAGTAAATCCTCTGCTGGGCTTCAGGGTCCATCTGTCCGTCCCAGGTGTGTCAGTCCTCTCGGTGTGTGTGTCGCGATTGTATACGCATAGGCGCCACGCGGCGCACACCTTCCTCTCGAAGACGGCGCCCTTTTTATTCTCTCATTAATTCATCGAACGCCAAATCCAGGTGAGTTGATCAAAAAGTTTTCGTTTACGTAGGTATTTACCATTATATTTATACTTACTCACTTGCGTGCCAAATGTCTATGGGCATGGTATGTAAAGAATGTGTGGTGCAAATGTGAGCGCGGGCGGGAGTGGCGATTGTTTATGCGAAGGGTTGGAATGTGTACTTGGATATAAATATAAGTATATACGTTTCAGGGAGCATTTGGCTCAGAGCGCGCGGGCGGTGCTCCGAATTTCTCGTTCCATTTTTCGTCTCTCTTTAACACCTCTAACCCTCTCTCTCTTGCATGGAGCATGTGATATACACCTTTCTCTCTCTCTTTTATGTACACACATTTAATACCTGCTCTCTTTTTTAATATGTATTTTCCTTTCTTTTTTCCTCCCCATTCATATCTGCTCGATTCTGAAAATACTCGGTTTGCCTGCAGCAGACGATCTGGCATGTGTATTTATTTATTTACCGAATCGTATACATGCACATACGAGAAATATAACGTGTGAGGGTGACTCGTATTTTAATTTTTTGAAAGCTGCACCGAGCTCTACTTTTCCATTGAACTTGCCTTATTTTTTTACTCATTAAAATTTAGTCTGTACACGTAACTATTGCATGGTCATACGTACATGTATAACGTGCTCATATGAATTCTGGATTCACGTTACATGCACGAACTTTTACGTAGTAAGTAGGCACAGAAACGATCGAGGGCTCCAGTACTTACAGACATTCTTATTATGCACTGAGCTTTTTTTCTTCTCAACTCCAAAGTTTACGTCGATAGTTTTTTTTTTTTTTTTTTTTTTTTTTTTTCGCACTACCAACGTAGGTAGACCTCATTAAAAAATAAAAGTAGTTTCAGAATACGTGTCTATGTGTGTGTTTTTGCAATTACAATTCACGTGCTGATATCCAAACATGTGTTTTCTGACTTTGGATTGTATACTTAGTAGTGTATTTTTTGTTTACGCAGCTGATTATTTTCGCAAGAGCTCGGACTCTCCGCACACCATCCCCCTCTTTTCCTCTCTCTCTCTCTCTCTCTCTCACACGCCGTGACTCATCTTTAAAAACTTTCTGTTCCCATTCGTCTGTTTATACTTTTTATTTATACAGCGAGATTATTTAAAATTTATTTCCCGTGAAAATACAAGTATCTGTCCATTACAGACACGTATACGTGTATGAAAACGTTCCACTTATAACGCGGAGTGAACGAGTTTCGTTAATTATGCCGCAGTTGCAGCTGCTGCTCCAAAATATCTTCGTGTAAGGAGAAAAAAAAACAATCTAAAAATAGTGGAGTGTCTCGATACTCTTTTTGGGAAAGCTAACCCGGAAAAGTTGTGCCTTGAGAGATTCTATTAAGATGATTGTGAGGAAATCATATGTCACTGCGACCGAGAGCCTAACCTAAAATTTATAAGTAGTCTGGTAGACAGGTGTATTTTTAAAACAGTTTCTAAGTATCTCTCGAGTATAATTATGCGGAGACAAACGTGTTAGCGCGATGTTAGATACATTATAGGATGACAAAAAATGTTTTAAAAAATCGTTAACCGTCACGCGTGTCTCTTTAATCGGAAGTGAAATCGATACTGTGGTGATTGTCTTTTGAAGATTATCAGGTGTGCATATTTGTAAATAAATGTTGAAAGAAAACATTCTGCAGTTACTTCTACTATCATCTATGCACATCCAACACTTTTGTTTGTTAAATTATGGAGTAGCCAAGCTGAGTGAGATTAATTTGATCACATTCAATTCATTTATTCACGTGTGCATTAAAGTCATTTCCCTCAGTAACAGCAACTAGGTCAATTTACTGTCGATAAAATGTTCTTGTAAAACTTTTCAAATATCGTATTCAAATTTTTTAATTGCCGATAAAATAATTTTCTCCAAACAACCTTTATTTTATATTTAAACGGAATTCTGGTTGTACAAATGATTTGTCGATTGATAAATGAAAATTGAATCATAAAAATTATGACGAATAGATGATAATGGGGCTTGAAACGAAAAAAGCTCAATTTTGAGAGATGAAAAGTAAAGAAAAACTACTTGAAAAAAACTCGGGACTTTCCTCGCGACACGACCTATATACTAAGACACGATTTTCCACTTCGTGAATAAGTCGCCGCGCGTATCAAAATTATAATAATCACCTCGGCACAATTAACGATATAGAGACGCAAAAGGGGAGCGCCTGGTACTTACCTGCTTCTATTTTTGTACAAAACCACCCGGCCCGGCAACAACAACTCTCGGCTCTAATCGGGTAATATAAGTACACGTCGATGATACATATACACTTACCATCAGCAGACGTGGGTATTGCGTGCAATTAAATTTTCAACGCTTCTTCTACTGCTTGACTCCAAAAACGGACGGGACTACGCGGCCGTATGTATACATGCGTTTATCAAGTCTGCAATGCTATGTGATGACGAGTCAGAGGCTGTTACGTGCGTATGCGAGTACATGTGACTCTCGCGGCATCTTGATTTCGTCGAGTTTAGAGATCTGGTGCACTTCAGCACTTAAATAGTTTTCCGCGAATCAAGTGTAATTTTCATCTTCTCACAGAGCATGCAGTTTTTTTTTTTTATGCGTATTAGAATAGTGCGCTTTCAAAGATACGGACAAACTCGTGACTGTCTCTGATTTTAAAACCTTTTTTTTTTTTTTTTTTTTTTTTTTTTTTACAACATCCCACCAAACTGTTATAATGTTTAAACGTCACGCGTCATCAATTCGAATATGTGCGTGTTTGTTAATGGTAAGGAATTTCAGCAGAAAAGCACAGAAACCACCTGCAGAAAGAAGTCGACTCGCGAAAATCCATCGCGCGTCCGAGATAAATACATACTTATTTAACACGTACAAGTGCCTAAAGTATATCATATATACCTATACCCATCGAGATGAAGAACGACGACGTAACGGCGTTGGGGACGCGAAGCATCGACCCGCACGCAAATGTATATATATATACGGCAAGAGGCTAAATTTAAAGTTCCTCCCGATGTATATATATACGCTCCCCTTCTTCCTCCTCTCGGCACGCGTATATATGTACGTACATCGCGGGCCCACTCTCGGCGGCCCCTTGTTGGCATCCAAAAAAAAAAAAAAAAAAAAAGAAAAGAAAAGAAAATCGGACTTGTCTGCATGTCGCGCGGTGTGTGTATTTTTACACGAATGCCTGATGGGTCTGTTTTGCCGCGCGTGTAATAATAGAACAATCCAGTCGGAAATATCTGAATTTTTTTTTTTTTTTTCTTTCTTCTTTTTTCAGGCTGAGCATCCGCAGAGACAAAAAAAATGGAATCTGAGAAGTCCTAAGCTGAGGTACCTCGTAAAACGTTTGCTTAATATACGAAACATATATATTTATTTATTATCCACACACACTCACGAAAGCAAAAGGAGGAGGAGGAGGGGAGACTGCATAATGTCCGTAAACACTAGATTCTCGTGCAATAATTTAGAAAACCAGCATTTGCATAAGTTTCTTCTTCGCCGATGCCACATGCCTTTGGCATATTTTTGTATGCATATATACATGTACGTGTCTGCTGCTCCAAAACCTCGAAGAATGCGAGGGTCCTTTTTTTTTCATTCATTCTTCCTTCTATTTTTTGTCTTCCCTTCCTTGTACATTTGTATACGTATACGTACTGGCTCATAAACGCGACACGCGTCATCGCACCATCATCGTATTGTAGTATAAAAAACAAAAAACAAAAAATTAATATACAATCATTCGGATATCGGTAATCACGTGATACAGTTAAAAATCGACTCACGTGTGTGTAAAACTAATGCCAATGACCGACAATAATAGTATATATATGTGCCATTGTTTACCTCGTTATCGAGCTCGTTATCGTACAAATGTCTCTTGATAAACAAACGCTTTCCGCGAATCATCGAGGCGTCATTGTACGTGAGAAACCGATACGATCGTCAATGACTCGTATTTTCCAACACTATTACGATTAATTGCCCAAATCTATAAATTACCACCAGATAAACCTAATAATTCACTCCATCCCCGCTGTCTCCGTCATCCGTACAACAGCGTGTACACTCATGTGTATATACATGTATTTTTTTTTTTTTTTTTTTTTTTCGACTACCACGATCGCGTCGTGATTCACCCATGGCAAAGGAACTCGTCTGTTTAGAATTTTTATCCCCATCGGCCTTGACTGAAACCACGTGTGATGTCACCCTCTCCTCTTCCTCCTCTCTTTTTCAACCTTCTCTCTCTCTCTTTTCACGCGCGCACTCCCATATCCGCACCAAACTAACCGATACGTACAGTATATGTATACTTATTTATATATACACCGATCGTTTCACCCACACGCGTATACACTACGTGTAATGTATATATCTGTATATATTGTGCACATAAATATATGCCAGCATATACGCAGTACACGATACAGATACAATATATATACAATTCGCCGTGCCCACGATATTCTTTTTCAAGGGTCTCTATCTCGAGTGAATGTGTATTCTTTATTTATTTTTTTTTTTCTCTCTTTCTCTCTCTTCCTTTACTCCATTGACTCGGAGCTGCGCCACACCGAGAGCATCGGCTCGTTACCGGCGTGTAATAGAAGTAGCGGACGAAACTACCGAAGCATGGCGGGATCTTTTTTTTTTTTTTTTTTTTTTTTGCTCTTTCATTTTGCGCACACAACACCTTTTGAATTTTAAAAGGATATATTTGAAAAAAACGACGCACGCGCGCGCTCTGCGTGTTACTAGCTACTTTATGCTAATTCTCATGCCACTACTGTAACGAGTCTTGATATCAATTAAGCCACGCGTGCGTGTGTGTGTACGACGACATTGCATTCGTTCGTGAGTTGTAGCAATAAATTCTCGACGCGGTGTTTATTATAGGTGTATTATGTATTGTCGAGCGCTTTGTTGTCGTTTCGTTCCTTTTTTTTTATGTACACACTGTCTCGCACTGTATGGTATACGAGGAGACATACTCGCCTTATCTTTATATACTTATGTATCCGGCACTTGTGATTTGGGTGATAAACCGAGGTGACAAGCGGTTATCGTTTAGACAATCAAATCGCGTATCCGTAGCCGGTGCATCGACAGGGACAGCTTATCAGACAATCCATAATACATGCACAAGAATCAGATAATGAAAAATCGGCCCCTAAAAATACGTGAAATGTTTGGCATGTAATTATTTATCAAACCACGTGTGTTACAAGTATACGTTCGAGCTACAGGTCTGTTTGATCAAAAACACACAACAGCTGTAGTACACATTACGTAACGCGAGCAATCCTTTCGAACAATGTGAGCACACAACACATCCATCAGATTTCTAATAAGATATGATAAGCAAAACACTCCTCCTTCTCTTGTGTGGTGTTGGCTTATACTTTTTAAGACTTGATTTTAATGTGTAAACCATCTCTTTGAATTGTTGCAGAAAACAGTGTTAAAATAGAGTGTAGCACCTGCAAGAGCAACAACAATAAAAAAAACAAAAAAAAAACAAAAAAAAACAACAAAAAAAAACAACAACAACAACCGCAACGACAATAGAGCGAGCGATCAGCGCCCGAAAGCTGGCAGGGGGCAGCTTAGTGATGCCAACGTACTACAATGCCAGCTGCGGCTATCCCAATTTATCGGCAGCGGCCGCCCGTCATCCCGTCACCAGCGTCCACAAGCTCGACGGCACCCGACTGCACCATCACACCTCGACCCATCACCTGCCACCCCATCATCTCCACCACAGCACCATACCCTCGCACATAGCCGCTGCCGCGCTCACCGCCTCCCACATAGTCTGTCCGCCCTTGGAGCGGCACTCCACGTCCTCCTCGGCCAACAACGCCACCAACAACAGCAACACTGGCAACAGCAACAGCATCATCATTGCCACTGCAACGAGCAACAACAGCAGCAGCAGCGTCAACAGCAATAGCAATAACAACCATCATCACCATCATCAGCAGCAGCAGCAGCAGCAGCAGCAGCAGCAGCAGCATCAGCATCACCACTCGAGCAGCAGCGGCAGCAGCAGCAACAACGAGTCGCCGTCGACGCAGAGCACCGTCACCAGCATCGCCACCTCGACAACCAGCGCCGTGCCGACCATGACGAGCATGAACAAGCTTGAGGTCAAGCTCAACGCCATGCCGTCCGTAATTTTTTTTCGTTTTACACGTAGCCCCCTTACTCTCCTGTTTTTACCACTCATCGTTCACGCGTTTGTTTGTTCGTTACAGCTGGTTTCACGGGAAGATATCGCGGGAGACGGCCGAACGACTGCTGCGGCCGCGCGAAGACGGTCTCTTCCTTGTGCGCGAGTCGACCAATTTTCCGGGTGACTACACGCTGTGCGTCTGCTATCAGGGAAAGGTCCAGCACTACCGGGTCAAGTACAAAAACAACCAGCTGACGATTGACGACGAGGAGTTCTTTGAGAACTTGGCCCTCCTCGTCGAGCACTACGAGCAGGACGCGGACGGGCTGTGTACCCAGCTGACAAAGTCTCTGCCAAAGCAGGGCAAGCAGGACTTTTGCGTCGACTTTCAGGCATTCGTTGAGGCCGGCTGGGTCATTCAGACGCACGAACTCGAGCTCCGAGAGTGCATCGGCAAGGGGGAGTTTGGGGACGTGTTGCTCGGCGTCTACAGGGGCGAGCGCGTCGCCGTTAAGATGCTCAAGGACAACAGCGAAGCTGCCCAGCGCTTCCTTGCCGAGGCCAGTCTCATGACTTCGCTCATTCACGATAATCTCGTCAAGCTGCTCGGGCTCGTCTTTAACAATCAGCACATGTACCTCGTCACCGAGTACATGAGCAAAGGCTCCCTTGTGGATTATTTGAGGTCGAGGGGCCGCTTGCACGTCTCCAAGCGGGATCAGATCAACTTTGCTTACGACACGTGCGCGGGCATGGCCTATCTGGAGTCGAGGCACGTCGTGCACAGGGATCTCGCGGCGAGGAACGTCTTGGTGGCGGAGGACAACTCGGCCAAGGTCTCCGATTTTGGGTTGGCGCGAGACGAGAACTTCTCGCTCGAGGGTGGTAAGCTGCCCATCAAGTGGACCGCGCCAGAGGCTCTCAAACAGAATGTAAGACTCGTGTGACTGGACTCTGGAAAAATCTTGTGTTATTTGTCTTTGATCTAATATTGGAATACTCTTTGCAGAAATTTTCCAATAAATCCGACATGTGGAGCTTTGGTATACTCCTTTGGGAAATATACTCGTTTGGTCGTGTACCTTATCCCAGAATAGTGAGTTATTGGCGTGATATTTGCGTCTAAACTAGCTTTATGGAGGATTCCAAGTTGAAATTTTGTTCTTTTTCATTTTAGCAACTGGTAGACGTAGTGAAATGCGTGGAAAAAGGGTACAAAATGGAACCACCTGAAGGATGTCCAGCCGAAGTCTACGACATCATGAGACAGGTAAACCATTTTTGTTTTTCTTGAAGCTTGGATTTTGGGCATGTTTTTATAATGATTTTTTCATCAATTTTTTTTTTTTTTTTAAATCAGGCATGGGACCTGAATCCAGAGAAGCGACCGACCTTCTATGACGTAAGAATCAAGCTTGCGCAGCTGAAAATAGAATACACCAAAGGTGTCAATTAACACTAATCTCGCGCGTTTAATTAACGCCGGAAGCAGAACGTATGGCCTAGTCCGGAGTATCGTAACATTTGAAAACTTTTTTTTTTTTTTTTTTTTTCTAATAGCAATAAATCTGCTTGCAGCTTTAAAGAATACTCCGACAAACACACATACCCACACACACGTTAGAAGACGAATATGTATTCTAATATTATTATTTCTTTCTTCGATGTACATTAGTTGGACGTTAGAAACGTCGGCGTGTTTTATTTTGTATTTATTGTATATCAATTTTATTTCTCTATGGGCCTAACTAGCGCCAAAGCTACTTGAAAATAAGGATGTGAAGGGGCTCCGTTGTACTTATAGATACGTTGTCGAACAATTTCATTCCACAGTTAGAGATGAACAGAAGCAAACTCATTCGTGTTTTGGGATCAATTTTTTTTGTGTCGAGCGTGAACAGAAAAAATTGTTTCATAACTTTTATTGCAAGAAACTTTAATTTCATTACGGCACTTGTAGGTTTTAAAAGTTCAGGGTCAGTATTAAATTTTTGGAAATTTCAATACTTTAGTAAATTTTGAAAATTTTCATAGTTATTCACGACTGACACGTAATAACGATACTAAAAATAAGAGTACCTAACATTAATACTTCTTCTATAAAATAATTACAATGCACTCAAATAAGAAGTATGTCATGACTTTGTTGACCCTCTCTATAATGATCGTTAGCTGGATATATCTAAGAGCACTGCTGATTTACAACGTGCCTTCTTTTAAGCGTTATTCAAATAATAGATTATGCATTATACTAATCGCAATGACTCTAAACGTGGAAAGCTGTATCGAATGATGAGGTATTTATGTGTATTTTCATTCCAAGTTCTAATCAAATTTTACAAACGAATTTCAATAATTATTGCGTAATCGGAAAAAATTAAAGACAAACGCCGCGTTGGCAGGATAGTTTTGTTGATTAAAGATTTGTTATTCTGTTGCTTTAAACTAAATTATTTCGTACCTAGTAGAGAAAAGGTTATTTGTTTAGATTTAAAAAAAAAAAAATTTTTTTTTAACAAAGATAAGTTTGCTTTTAAAAATGTACATGTACTATTGTAAATATTCTTGTATATATTAATTTTGTCGGAAAATTTTTTGTTTCGAATGAAAGAAACAATAACAAATGTGGATAAGAGTCTTTAACAGATTGAGATAAGTGAGAAGAAACAGTCCATGTTTTAATTCTAAGTATTCGAACGATATCTTGAAAAAGAATAAAAAAGTTAAATACATAAGTGGTAGATAACACTCACGATCACGAAAAAAAATGCGACTGAGTTATCTTACTGCAGTCACAAGATACAAATTTAAGAGCCCACACACAAATTATATTTCTAATAAAAGCGCAAATTCGAATTATATTATATCTTGTTCAAATTTTAAAGTATAAATCTGCAGTAACTGAAAATAAATAAATAAGAAACGGAAAGTATGCCTTGCACGCGAGCGCATGCATGGGATGTGGACATATACATATATAATGTGCGGGCACTCAGAAGCGCGTCTGTAAAGAATAAACAAAGTATAAAAAAGGCAAAGTAGTAACTAAACAAAAGATTGAACGTAATAGTGTTGTAATTGAGCGAAACCACCGGCGTAGTTTGGTAGATGAAAACCAAAAAGAAGTGTTGGGATAAGAACATCAGTAGAACTCTGGGAAGTTGCAAGAAGCGAACAATCAATATGGGAGCTTGGCTACTTGTTACTTAGTCTAGACGTTTGATGATGAAAATAAAAGCATTCTGGTTTTTTTCTTTTTTTATTATTAAAGTGGGTAATACTTTATCGTTAATTTATTTCGATAGTCCGAGCTTGATATTTGTCAATTTTACGATGTTGTTTACGAAAGACTGTCTGTGAAGTAATAATCAACTAACAACAATCTGCTTGATAAATGTGATAAGCGTTTATTGAACCACAGAATCTCATAAAGAGTTGAAGATCTTTTTATAATAGTGTACTTCAAATTAGTATCCGAAATTTATACGTCTTTTGCACTTGTTTGTAAGAAAAACAATAAGATTTTTTAATTCATGTTAGAATATAACACGGCGTGCTCGGACTAAAAAACAAGGGCCTTCCGAACATTTGAAATCTTTTATTGAATATTGCTGGATGAGTATCAAAATAAAAATTGCGTACTAATAAAAATGGTACTATTTGATTTTCTCAAGTGCGATTTTTATTTCGGTACTCATCCAATGAAAACAATTAGCAAACGGTGAGCGACAATGATAACGTACGTTCATATAATAAATTTTTCCATTAGAGCAGCTAATTTAATAGGCCAAACGAAATTTTAGCACGACGAAATACACAAAATTCACCTACGATTAGCCATTAATGTTGTTTATTTGTTTTTCTAAATAAATGTTTAGACTACGAGAGACAAAAGTGTTGTAGATATATATACTCGTGTGGGTACAAAGAAAACTAACAAAGGCAGCTAACGAAATACTCGAAACGGGAAAAAAGGGGCGAAACTGAAGATTTCCGAAATACTTTGAAAAAAAAAAAAAAGTATACACAAAAAAATGCATTTTAGCTGATTATGTGGCAATGATCACACGATTCCACTACTATTTGTAATTATCACCTATACTTCTAACGAAATGGATTAAAGTCACGAACGAACGTTGCGGACAAAAACGGGGAAAAATCGACTTTGGAATTGTACATCTAATTTAGATTATAAGAAGTGTTTATTTATTATACAAACTTTTATTCTACACGATTGAAAAAAAAAAAAAGGAAAATCCGTCGAGTTATTAAATGTTGTTTATTTTAATTTCATTGATACGATGGCAATGAGTTTTGTTACACATTAAAATTACTATAATACCTAGTACAAAAAAATTTGTACAATAGTACAAAAAAAAAAAAGCCTTGTTCATTTATCATTGCTACCATCCTCGTACTCCTCCACGTCAGTCATATCCGCATTATCAGCCGAATCTGGTCCACCCGGACCTTTGGCAACTTCCTCGCAGTCCCGCATCCGACACTGGCACTCTGACTCATTCGCCTCTCCCGAGTCCTCCCCAGCCCCGCTCTCCTTATTGCCACTGAAACGCGAAATCGACCGTATCGGCAACAACCCACTTACCGATCTTATACCGATTTTCACACACACACACCTCGCTGCAGCTTCTCCGACCCGCTGCTTCGAACACACCGTCGCAGACTCGTCGGGCTTTCGGTAAGTCGTCTCCGGACTACCAACGTGGGGCTTGAGGATCAGCCTCTTGGGACTCGCGACGCGATACGCCACGAAAGGATCCGGGGAGTCGTAGCGCTCGGGCAAAGGTACCGACGAACTGTGGCGCTGCAAGACCCCCACGCTACGGCTCCAGTCCGTGTACTCGTTACCCTGTGACACAAATAACCAGCTTTCACGTCGCATATAGACTCTCGCGATCAAGGGCGCGTTACGCTATAGTAGGTATATGGGAGTGCGTTCAAGTACTATAGGACCGTCAACAAGAAATTACGTCGCGCCTGCGCCGCATCTCTCGGTCGAGCTGTTGGATCTTCCTCTGGACGTTGGCGAGCCTCGACTCGGAGATCAGCCGCTGGGCGTTGTTGGCCGCGAAGCTCAGGTTGCAGCGCTCCTCGCACTCCTTTTCCCTGAGGGTGGCCAACAACTCCCTTACCTCGTCATCCGACTTGAGCTCGAGCAGCAGCGGGTCCAATTGCTCGGGGGCCTCCGCCCCGCACCCCTGGTTCTCCGCGATCTTTGCGTTGATCAGACCCTCGACCAGCGCCTTCAGCAAGTTCGTCTTCAGCTGGGCCGTCGTCAGGACGGGTATGACGCGCGCGAGGGTCGACTGGGCCGTGAGGAAGAGCCCCAGCAGGGAGTTGAGCTGCTGGCAGCTCTTGGACTCGCGCAACAGTTGCTCCTTGGTCATCTGCTTCAGGCACCTACACCGCGATAATGACGCGTGAGACGAGACGATGGAAAAAAGGGGCGTATATATATATATACGTTACCTCGTAGCCACGGCCATGACTTCGTCGAGGGACTCCTTGACGTTGGCTCCGGGGATCTGGCGCAATAGCAACCGCGTGACCGCGGCACTTACGGTACCCTGGACCCCGAGCATCTGCGAGATCATGGCTTGCAGCTGTATCGTGGCCGGGCAGTTTTTTCTCGCGCACATGGTCCCGTCCGTGGTCTCTTGGCACTGGTGTCTCGACCACGAGTCGCTGTTGCCCTCGTTTTTCAACGAGAATCCACCCCCGTGGCTCTTCTCCCAGCTGTCGTTTAGCTCGTTGGTTGAGTGGGACGACCTGTCTCTACCGTTCGAGCATTTGCACTCGTGGCCCGGGGCCTTTTGCTGCTGTGGCTGCCCTGTTATTGCCAACCACCACGTATACACTTATGTGTCGTTTATTTGGTATGTATAAATGTGTTATGTGTGGACTCACCGCAAGGTGGGTATATGGCCATGGGCATCGGGTAGGGTATGCAGGTGGGAGCAGGGATCGGTTGGCAGGTAGCCATGGGGTTCGGCTGCTGGCTGGGTAGTATGAAAATCGGCGAGGCCGATTGCAGGCCGCACGCTCGCAGGTGCTCGATTATATTTTGGGGTAGCGTCGGGCCGTATCCGGGCATCATCTGGCTCGGGGCGTTTGTCTGGGGGTAGTACGCGTAGTAGGGAGTCCCTTGGGGGTTGTTGGGAGCTGCGGGTGCCTGCTGGAACGGCTGATGCTGGACGCCAAATGTGCCGCCCACTGCGTCAAAAGGGGGATGGGAGAGTGAACCAGTTGTTTTGGACGAACGTGGTGCTCGATGTACGTACTCTGCTGGGAAAATTGGCCAATTGGCTTCGTTGGCATCGGCTGGTCGCAGGTCTGCATTGACATTGGCTCGCCGAGGCTTGGGAACTGCGTCATGGTTTTTACTGTTTTTTTTTTTGCTTGTTTGCTTTTTACTATTAGATTTTTTTTTTTTTTTTTTTCTTTTTTTTTTTTTTTTTTTTTCTAATAGCAATAAATCTGCTTGCAGCTTTAAAGAATACTCCGACAAACACACATACCCACACACACGTTAGAAGACGAATATGTATTCTAATATTATTATTTCTTTCTTCGATGTACATTAGTTGGACGTTAGAAACGTCGGCGTGTTTTATTTTGTATTTATTGTATATCAATTTTATTTCTCTATGGGCCTAACTAGCGCCAAAGCTACTTGAAAATAAGGATGTGAAGGGGCTCCGTTGTACTTATAGATACGTTGTCGAACAATTTCATTCCACAGTTAGAGATGAACAGAAGCAAACTCATTCGTGTTTTGGGATCAATTTTTTTTGTGTCGAGCGTGAACAGAAAAAATTGTTTCATAACTTTTATTGCAAGAAACTTTAATTTCATTACGGCACTTGTAGGTTTTAAAAGTTCAGGGTCAGTATTAAATTTTTGGAAATTTCAATACTTTAGTAAATTTTGAAAATTTTCATAGTTATTCACGACTGACACGTAATAACGATACTAAAAATAAGAGTACCTAACATTAATACTTCTTCTATAAAATAATTACAATGCACTCAAATAAGAAGTATGTCATGACTTTGTTGACCCTCTCTATAATGATCGTTAGCTGGATATATCTAAGAGCACTGCTGATTTACAACGTGCCTTCTTTTAAGCGTTATTCAAATAATAGATTATGCATTATACTAATCGCAATGACTCTAAACGTGGAAAGCTGTATCGAATGATGAGGTATTTATGTGTATTTTCATTCCAAGTTCTAATCAAATTTTACAAACGAATTTCAATAATTATTGCGTAATCGGAAAAAATTAAAGACAAACGCCGCGTTGGCAGGATAGTTTTGTTGATTAAAGATTTGTTATTCTGTTGCTTTAAACTAAATTATTTCGTACCTAGTAGAGAAAAGGTTATTTGTTTAGATTTAAAAAAAAAAAAATTTTTTTTTAACAAAGATAAGTTTGCTTTTAAAAATGTACATGTACTATTGTAAATATTCTTGTATATATTAATTTTGTCGGAAAATTTTTTGTTTCGAATGAAAGAAACAATAACAAATGTGGATAAGAGTCTTTAACAGATNGATCTTTTTTTTTTTTTTTTTTTTTTTTTTTTTTAGATTTTTTTTTTTTTTTTTCTATTTGTTAGTTTGATGTTGTGTGCACATTTGGAAAGAAAAGCTTTGTTGGTTCACTGAAAATTTTGAAGGTTGTAATTCACCGTCCGAAGTTTGTTGCACAGTTATATTGTACGTAAGCTGTACGAAAAAAGGAAAACACGTATTGTTTAACAATTAGTAAAGTCACATGTGATACATAAAAAAAAAAAAAAAAATACGTTATTTGCCGCAACTGTTGCTTATTTATACAGACTACTAGGGCAAGAAAAGAATTGCTTTCTCCTTCATTAAATGCATTTTCTTTTTTTTTATGTATCACTATGTTCAAAATACAACATTAAAAAAAAGAAAATTTTTTTTAAAATACTTAGACTATTGTTTTTAATCACATTTTTCGATTTCTAATGCATTGTTTTTGCCGCAAAACATTCTATTAAGCACTGTGTTGTAAGTAGTAATTGAAAGAAAAAAAAAAAAAATGCATAACAACTTAAGCAAAAAAATTATATTGTTGAAAAAACTGAAATTCTATGCTCAAATGTAAGTACTTACGTATTACGCAACAAGTATACGCAGATCACGTCTCTGTATAGGGAACAGCTGTCGGTCGTTCTTCTTCTCTGGTTCACTTATAATCATACACTTTATCTGCGTACGCATAACACGCGAGCAAGTGGTAGAGGGAGGGGGGGGGCGTTTAATCAGCCCGGTCGTCGCTCTTCCTCCGTCAACTGCGCAGTAGTTCCGACGTACCACGCCCGCGAGTATGAATTATAGTCCACGGCGTTACTAATTCCATCGTTAGCAACAACCGAAAATGAGCTCACCTCGCGAACGGGACACAAAGTTCATCGAAGAGGATCTGGTGCCGGAGTTGGTGTCCGACCGGTGCTTCTGCGAGTCCAACTCGCGCGAGTTCGTCGAACTCGAGAGCGTCGCTGCCGAGCCACTACTCGACCACCACGTGCTCTACCGAGCGACGATCGTCATCCGATTTTCCGACGTGCCCACCACGTTCCGCGTACTGATAAAACTCCTGCCCGCTGACTCCAATGACTACGGCGGTTTCCTCAACGAGGAGATGATCTGGAACAAGGGCACCCTGCAATACGGCAAAACGGACTTTTTCCCCCGGTTCTACGCCGCCGACATGGGCCGGTACGCCGGCAGAGCGATCATCGTGGTCGAGGACCTCCGGAGTCGAGGCTTCCGACGTGCGATCGGCGGGCACTTTGACAACGACGAGGCTCGGCTCGCCGTCCGGTTCATCGGGCGCTTCCACGCCCGGGGCCTCCGACTCAGGCGCGACAAGTTCCCGGTCTTCCGCGAGTTCTACGCCAAGTTCGAGGATACGTTGCCGGTCCGGTGAGTTCAATTTCGTTGTTTCTCGGTGCAGGTTTTGGCATTTATGTTATCCGATCGGCACGTATAGGCGCGCCGATCTGTGCCAATCGGCGGAGGATAAGGAGGCGGGGCTGGAGAGGTGGCCGAGTTGCACCATCTGCCAAGGTCTGATGACGCGGGAGAACCTTTGGTTCAGGAGGGACCCGGACACCGGTGAGCCGGTCGAGGTGCGGCCGCTCGATTGGCAGAGGGTCCGCCTGGGACCCGGGGTCATCGACTTGGAGACGCTTCTGGCTTGGTGCAGCGACGACGCCAGGGAAGCTCTGCGCGACCTCTACGTGGACGTTGTGCGCGAGGAAGTGCCCGAGATCGGCAGGGAGGAGCTGTTGCGCGACTCTGACGGCGTTGGAAAGACGTACGCGGACATCGCCCACCGGCTTGGAGGATCTTTGGATTGATGTTTTTTTTTTTTTTTTTCTTTTTCCATCAACTACGAGTCTTATAAATATACAGGACGATATCTATCGCTTATATCAGTCGCTCGTTTTCCCACCCAATCATCAGTCTCAATGGGTATGCGAGACGCAATACTCCGTAAGATTTAGGGCACAGGTGCAGGTTACTTGGTTTGCCACTAAAATTACGTCAGCCCAATTGGATGCTCGACCGAATGAAGAAAGAACGAGAGCGCGCCCACGCGTTCATTGTAACGTATACACACGTATTATGATAATATAGTATATTTATACTTGACGAAAAATAATAATTAATTGGCAGTGTATCCAATATGTACCTTGGGCGGTGATGCGGGCTATTGTTCGAATCGCACGATTCATTCTCCGTCGATGCAAGTATATGAGGTATGCGCGGGTAACTGCATATGATTTTCCCATAACTCGTATATACAAGGTGTACCCATACACGTATAAAATATCATCCAAATGGCGCGTTTGTCGTTTTCTTAACTACGCGATTTGCATACCAACCATTTTTCTGTGGTATTTTAACTCGTCGTTTATGCACGAATATCCACACAACAAAGGACCACCGTAAACGCTTGTAATATCCGCGCGTGCGTTTATGCAATTGTACAAATCGAAAGAGGGAGCACGTAATGATTATCAACTAGTGCAAATCATCGTGGTTGTAAAAGTATTAAAATGATGGCCCCGTTGTGTCTGTGTGGTACCCATACATATACTCTCCGCGCCTCCTCGTTTTCGTCATCATCATCATCATCATCATCGTTATTGGCACAATGGCAATTTGCTAAACACGCGATGTTGCGCAAACTGTAAATAAGCGAGTATACATACTGGCCTGTCGAACCGATGTAAATGAGCATATAAAGGAACCAAAAAGCACATCGTATCTTTACCCGTAAATTATTATATACATACATACCCAACAGAAGCACCGTAATGAACGAAAGGGAGCTCGAGAGTTGGTTTAGATCTATTATCGACAAAATGTATTGTACATCTTATACGTGTATTATTTTATTCCTGACAATGGGCGAGGTCCCACAGTGCTTTTCGCTATCTGATGTAAAATGCGCGCCATACCTATATACACCCATTGGACGGCTCTCTCGGGCTATTGTGCGAGAAGGCGGGGGCGGCCCCTTCGGTGCGAAAGATCGTTATCCCGGCCATTCGTAATTGGTGGGATGACTTTGTTTGCGCGGATCACGCGTGCTTAGTAACAAGTACACGCGAGTGGGTCGAAGGATGTGCTCTTGGACTGATCCGATTGGCCTACTTTCATGCTGTTCTATGTTTTTGGAAAAATAATCTTACCGATCTATAAATAACCATAGACGTTTCGTTGTTTTTTTTTTTCAAACCATTTTTTTTTTTTTTTTTTTTCTTTTACTTCATGATAAATATACAATAAGCACTCGTTGCTGGTTTTGTTACATGAGGCGGATGGTTATACGAAGACATTAAAATTGATACCGCACTTTCCATTTGAATCGTATTGTGTGAAAATCTAAGGCGATCGATCGGCAAACGAAATCGAGTTCCGTTGTACAGGTATGCAAAATAAAAAAAGCTCAGAGCTTCCAAACATTAAAACGGTCATCATCGTTATTAACATTATCATCGTCATCATCGTTATTATTATCATCGTCAGTATCATTATCATCATTATTATCATCATCTTTATCATTGCCATCACCATTGCTATCGTCATATTCNCGTGAAGCATACAAACACATACGCGTGGGTAAGACAGTATAGCGCTCATTAAGAATAGCCACAAGTTGTATAACACACGCACATCATTGTTATTACATTGTTGAGGTACGTATGATATGATATATTATTTATACATATTGTGAGTAATAAGTAATATCCATGTCGTGGAAAGTAGTTGACGAGTCCTACTGGTTGTACCTGTTGGGCCTGTAATTGAGCTGTAAGCTGCCGGGGGAGTAGTCGCCGTTGTCCTCCTCCTGAAACGGTAGGAAAAAAAAAAAAAAAAAAAAAAAAGAAAAAAAAAGAAAAAAGACAAAAGTAAGTAACGAGTTGAGCAGTTTTTTTTGGTAAAAAGAGTTGGGACTAATATGGTTGGAGGCAAACCGGGTGGGCCAAATTGTAGGCGAGCGCCCTTTGGATCGCAGGCGGAATCGGGGGCGGAGTGGGCAGGGCGTTCCCTTCTGCCTTGAAGCCGTTCTCGTCGGCCACGTAGCGCACGACTATGGCCTGGCCGTCCGGTGCGGTGTAGCTGTACTGGCCCTGCACCGTCTCGACGGCGCCGAGGCCGCCTTTGCCCACTGGTCTGCCCTGCTCTGCCACGGAGATCCCGTTCTCGGTGTCGTAGCTGTAGGATACCGCGAATTTCGAGTGGTCAACATTCAAGCAATTTTATCTTTAACTTTAAAAACGTACTTGTAACGTACGATAGTAGTATAGGTGAGACTCTACGCTCCCTCTCCTCAAACCTCATAACGAGGGGCCCTATAGGGCCAAGGGAAGGGAAGTGCAAGCAAGGAGAGAGTCTATTCGGGGAGTACACGACGAGCCTTTGATGGGAACACACGCGCTATCTTGCCTATGATTACGGTATCTTGAATAAAGGTCCTTGAAATAATAAGTGTTGATCATTCTCGCGAAGCACCTCCTTACCAATATCTTCCCTACGTAACAATATGTTTTAAACGACTAATTTTCAATTCCCGTATTCCAAGATCTTTTTTTTTTTTTTTTTTTTTTTTTTTTCAACC